CGTAGAAGACAGACTTTGCCCCGAGGTCTTCAATGATGAGTTCGGTGAGACGTTCGCGGTATTCAATCGACAGCCGTTGAGGCAGTGAGAGGAGGATGTTGGTGCCCTGCGGGCTGACCTTGAGGCCGGCACATACCTCCTTGATGTGTTTGTTGTAGTACTTCAGGGCCTTGTTTTCGCAGCGGAATTCCCGAACAAAGCCATCCACCACGTGTGCTGACTGGATCGGAAATGAAAAGAAAGTTGAGGAGAAATTCATTCGCAAACAATTCCAAGATATGCGCCAGTTAAGATTTGTCAGTAACAATAAAATTGGTCGCCTCCTAGTCCCATAATTATGTCTTGCGGGACGGAGGGTATTCGTTTATTTTTCTAGTTTATTAGTTTACTTTTACTTTTAATGTGGTTAAGTTTTTAATCTAGTTAGTGCCATTTAGTTTGGTTTATTTTAATATATAGTAATTATTTAAGTAAACGAATCTACCGTTCGAGGTATCCCATTAAAATAAAAACTAAACGTCAAATTAACTAAAAAAATAAACTAGAAATATTCCCATTTCATGCTTGAGAAGTCATTTTGTCAAACACGTGTTTTCAGCAATTGGCCTGATCACGAGTTGTTGTAATCACGTGTTTGCCAGAATTAGTTATCAATAAACTAACAATAACTAGAACCTGGGAGACGAGGTATCTAACTTCGTGGACTAACTTTATTGTTTACGAGTTGTATCCCCCATGATCTCTACGCCGGCAATCACGCTTTGAAAGAGGTGCACTAAAATGCCTAATTTGCTATGATGTCTCAAAACTTCTACATTTCAATGTTGTTTTGGCAAATGAGAATAATGCATTCTACCCCGCTGGAAAAATACTCGACAACTTCGAGGGACGTCTATTATTTGAATACGCCTAGTGGTCCCCTAATGGATCAGGACTGATTTTCGACTTGAGGAAAAATGGGATTGAAAGGAGGAATAATAGAAGGAAAAAAGAGAAAGTATAGGCTCAAGGCATTCATGAGCAACTTCACACTCTGTCCCAGTAAAATCTTGTCGGTAACAATAATATTGCTCGTCCACTCTAGACAGCCCAAGCACCAGAATTCTGTTCTGCGGGACGGATGATGTAAGCTCGGTTTATTAGTCATGTTTTAATTAAAGTGAAGTTTTTGGTTTACTTACTGTTGTTTACTTTAGTTACTATAGTTATGCATATAGTAATTAGTCAGGTATAGTTATCTAACGTTGGCGTTATCGAAGCTGTAGTGTTCTCTGCCGTTCGACGCCCTCCATTGCTTTGTCCGGCGTCATTGTTCAAGGCCGGCTGCCTCAAGGTCATCC